AGCTTCATTGCAACTATCTTTGTGTGCTACACTTTCTTTAAACCCAAAGTTATTACCCCATGTGGCAGGAACTGACCGAGTTGTGTTGGGAGACTTGGTATATTGTAAAGGAAATGAAATTGAAAAGGTGTCAGAAGTTGTTAGTTCTGAATGTGTAGATGAAAATGGTAATGATACGCTTGATCCTATTGACTTAGATGATATATCTGGAACAAATCTTCCTGAGGAAAGGCTTAATCTTGTGAAGGTTAGTTGTGTCCAGGTTGTTGGCTTTTTCCCCTGCTGTCCTAAGTAGTATTCTATGATTAAAGCCAATTTAGTAACTTGATCTACAAAACACAAGCCACCTTTGAGTTCGGATTTTGCTTTATATTTTTAACTTAAAAGATTTGAAATATTAAGATGGCTTACCATCTGGCAGGCTGTAACTGCGGAAGATATCCTTAGTGGAAATTACACCATTGATGATGTTGTCCTTCCAATGCCCGGGTAAGGAAAGATTCACAGTCTTCCCTGATTGTATGCTACCCCGGCAATCTTACGACTGATGAAGTTCTTTAATACTTTGTTGTTTTGCAGTTCCAGAGTCATTTTTCCAGAAAACGATATCGCTGACGTTTTTCATGATTTGGCAAAGAAGGTTCTTATTCTCAGCATCAATTTCAGGCTTTCCCACTGTTTATTTGATTTCCTTCTAATTTATAATCCATCTTATTTTCCTCCTGAATTTGTGTTTACAATATATCAATCAGGATGCAATCAGCTTGACAGATAGCGTGCATAATGTCAAGTACATTCCTATTTTCCTCCTCACCTCGCCCCTTCTCTCTCTCTCATGGGATTCTATTCTAATTAAATGCATACATCTTGTTGTTCTTTTTAGGGAATTCTCAATAACCAGCATGACTGGAAGCTATAGGCGGGTCTTCCAAAAACCAATGGACTTTGAATGGTATAGCTACTCTCATTTTTTTCATCTTCAATAATTTGATCATACACTTCAATTATCAAATAATAGTATACAATAATTGTTTGATTTTCATTGTTCCAGGGAAATACTAAAATATATTGATGCAAATAAACCTTTGGTGGACACAGACTTCGACAAAATTGCCAAAACCAAACCATCTAGTCTAAATGGAGATGGAAGATTGCATGATAAAACAAAACAATCAGAGTGCTTGGACAACGATATAGGGCTTCAGACAGATGATAATGGGGCAAAGGCGAAGGGAGAAGAATTGCCACAAGCTGAATTCCTCTGTGATACTAATCCTCAGGAAACTCAGACGGCTCTCAAGTTGAGCTTTACTCTCCCAGCTTCTTGTTATGCAACAATGGCCATCAGAGAGCTACTGAAGACATCGACATCTGTATGTGCCTCCTTTAAGCTCTACTAGTTCAACTATCTTCCATATGATTGTATACTACATATGCCGGCTTTCGTAAACCTAACTGGCCAATCCTACTCTATATAATGGGAAAATTTTCCAATTCCAGTTAGGTTAATCAATTTACTGACAATTGTCGCTGCAGGTTGCGTTTCACAAAACGTTAAACTAGTGTGCGCCTTGATACTTGCGGTGAAGTATGGCATCCAAGATTGAATTCATACCGGGGAGGGACTAATTTGAAAAACTTCAACATGGCACAGGAGCAATCCAAGATCGCACTCTTTCATACATTAGGATCTTGACTTTTAGAACAAATTAATGTTACTGTTACTGCTGGTTTGTTGGTTAACACATGAATGAAATTGTATTTTAGTACGGAATAAGATTCGATAACAGGTTTCCTTTTCATAAATGTTACAAAAATCAGTTTGCTTCTATTTGTCTCACATAATAGAAATCCCAAATTGTTTTATTCAATTTTTGCCCTCGACTGAACTTAATATCCTCAGCATTCCACCAAGCCTCTAAAACTCTACCTCAGTAATTTGTGATCAAGAAAATTTAATCTGTCACATATCATGGAAATCTCATCATGGAGTGATATCCATCTGAGATACTGATAAAAACTCATAATATGAGCTGCTGACCAGAGAAGAGATTACTCTTCCTGGGTGGAATAAAAAGCTTGATATCACAATCATTTGAGCAACAAAAGCTTTTTCACGTGGACTGCGTTTATTTGCTTGTTCACTTTGTGGTCAGACAAGAACACAAAACATTATGTTAGGTTAAGGGAAGTTTTATGTTGATGCCCAAACCCGTCCAACAGTTCTGGTTGAGTTCAGAAGAAAAATAAAAAATAAAAAATAAAAAATAACTGATAAATTCAAATGCGGTGAAGGTGGATCGAACACCTGACCTTCAGATCTTCAGTCTGACGCTCTCCCAACTGAGCTATCCCCGCTTTGATGTTTTTATATGGCCAAACTAGTTATTATAATTTGTATACAAGCTCTAACCCAAAAGACCTAAAATAAATAAAATTATCAAAATATATGCGGTGAACGTGGATCGAACACGTGACCTTCAGATCTTCAGTCTGACGCTCTCCCAACTGAGCTATCCCCGCATTGACATTATAATATAGCTATTTAACGATATATGAGATGAGCTCCAGCTTCTAGACTTGATTCAAAATATTGTCAATGGACTATATATGGAAGGAATTAAAAACATGGAATTGAAATCACAAGTCGCAGAGCAATTAGATTTTGGTATAATAATACTTCTTTTTTCTAATATTAAAAGAGGTCTCGAGCTCAAATTCTCTCTCTCGTCTCGTTAATATGAAAGTGGCTTTAAATTAACCAGCAGGCAATTAGCACACCCCTGTACTGCAAGTGTTTGTCAATCCTTCCTTTCTAGTTGGAAAAATGGGCAAAGGAGGATGAACTTTTTCCATTGCGCCCTTGTAACAACTACAATCTATGATACATCCCTTTCAATAACTCATGCATGGGGCAAGTTGGTGAATTATATACTCAACCATAAAGACTCTCTGCCCCACACTATAAGACCATCTCTTAATATTTCATTCAAAGCTGTTACAAAAAGACCAAACAGACACAGGGAAAATAAAAGTCTCAATTCTTTTGGCTTGACTAGAACACAAAATCGAAACTTTTATCTAAAACCCAAAACGTTCCAAAAAAAAAAAGAGCTCAATTATTAGCCGAAAAAGAAGGTCAGCTCACAGTGAAGCTTTATGTCGACACAAACCTATTGCATTTTTTGGATTTACAATTTCCCATTTTTTACTTAAATGGGAATTTTCATTGTTTTTTTTATTTATACAAATTTTCCTATTTGGAATGGAAAGGGAAAACCCAGAAGAAAAAAAACTAGAAATTGAATGGATCACCAGGTGAAGAAATATTCTCTTTGTTCAAGTAGTAAATATTTTCGGGATGATATATATATATCTCTCTGTGTCTGTGATATATATATATATATATATATATATATATATATATATATATATATATATATATATATATATATATATATATATATATATATATATATATATATATATATATATATATATATATATATATATATATATATATATATATATATATATATATATATATATATATATATATATATATATATATATATATATATATATATATATATATATATATATATATATATATATATATATATATATATATATATATATATATATATATATATATATATATATATATATATATATATATATATATATATATATATATATATATATATATATATATATATATATATATATATATATATATATATATATATATATATATATATATATATATATATATATATATATATATATATATATATATATATATATATATATATCACAGACACAGAGAGATATATATATATCATCCCGAAAATATTTACTACTTGAACAAAGAGAATATTTCTTCACCTGGTGATCCATTCAATTTCTAGTTTTTTTTCTTCTGGGTTTTCCCTTTCCATTCCAAATAGGAAAATTTGTATAAATAAAAAAAACAATGAAAATTCCCATTTAAGTAAAAAATGGGAAATTGTAAATCCAAAAAATGCAATAGGTTTGTGCCATATTGTAGTTCAATTGGTGTATTTAACAAAAAAGCCATTGTGTTCATAACTCAGTAGTAAGAGCATTTACACGCAGATCAAGTGGTCTCAGGTTCCTCTTCCTATTTTCAAATTTTGACAAAATAAAAACGAGAATTAAAAAGAAAAAAACCCATGATTTTGAAGATTGACTTTGGCCATGTTAATTCTTGACACTTGAATACAGAGGTCAAATAACTACATCCAATTTCATTCTTTGATATCCAAACCTAACTATTTGAAACAAGTTGTAGTGAATATGTATGAGTTCAATGTTGCTCACTTGCAATATAAACAAAACAAGAAGGGAAGAAAAACTAGTGTAATAATTGAGTCGATGTAGTGAATATACCATATCACCTTTTCATGTACTAAATAATTTCTCCCAGTTTGAGGGTGACTTCACTTTCTTCTAAAACGGTGTGGTGGGCTATCTATCTTTTCTCTTCCATGATAGGAGCATAGGACAAAAGTCCTTGATAAAAGAGAGAGAGAGAGAGAGAGAGAGAGAGAGAGAGAGAGAGAGA